CGTGAGTATGGTGTGTAGGAGATAGCTGGACTTAGTATAGTCCATGGTCTTTGGAGGATTTGAGCTTGTTCCTTGGGTGTGTGTGATGACATTTGTCCATACTGTTCTTACTTGATTATGGACTATTTGGGTGCATCTTGATGAGATCCGATTAGTACATGATCTTGATTATATTAACTCTTATCGACTAGTATACCTACCTTGGGCCCTGACTACTTGGACCGGCGTGGATACTCGACTGCATTCGTTCTTGTACGTCTACCGTACCCTGGCAAGCGAGAACTTCGACATGGCGATGTCTATATCCACTTCCTCGGACCATACGGGTCTTGGATCGGTCCCGGATCCTGCGCCGTCCAGCGAGCGCAGCCCCAGTGAAAGCCTCCAGCCATCCCGCAGCTCAAACGACGAGGAAATAAGAATTGCACAAGCTATTGCAGACTTGGCGGATACCTGCGACAACGCTTTCGTTCGGTCATCAACGCAGTACCATAGCCATCATAGGCCTTACTCGTCAGTGGAGTTGCAGCAACAACGTCTGTCGACATACTACGGTATCGCAATGGGATCGAACACTACTCTTGAGATGAACGACATGGGGACTCCAGGGCGAGAGAGACCGCATGTGAGAAACGGGCAGGGGGGTGACTACGTCCCGAATTTGCAATCCTACGGCACCTCTCAGCACTCGAGTCTGCAATCCATATCCACCAAGTACGGGGTCGACAATGCAGATTCCGCAGACAGTCTCCCGCGGCTCAAGCACAAGCAAAAGAGCAGGAAGACGCATCTCCAGGAGACGCATTCCACCGGTGACGAGGCCCAAAGCCCGACTTCCACAATGGAAAGCGAGCAGCATGATGCACAATCCATGGGCGGTGCCGGCCCAGCATACCCTTCAGCAGCAAAAACAGCAGTTATCATGGTCTCGCTCTACATCTCCATCTTCCTAGTCGCCCTCGACAGGACCATAATCGGGCCCGCCATTCCCGCTATAACGAACCAGTTCAACAGCATCGACGACATTGGCTGGTACGGCAGTGCCTACATGCTCACTTCGGCAGGCTTCATCCTACTCTACGGTCGCATCTACACGTTTTTCCCCACAAAACCCGTCTTCTTGTCTGGCATCTTTCTCTTCGAGGCAGGCAGCGTGGTATGCGGCGCCGCGCAGAGCAGTATGATGCTGATTATTGGCCGGGCGATTGCCGGCTTGGGCAGCAGTGCCATCTTCACGGGAGCCATCTTGATCATGCTGAACACGGTACCGCTGCACAAGAGACCGATGCTGCAGGGGCTATTTGGCGCGTGCTTTGGCGTTGCAAGTGTGGCCGGTCCGTTGCTTGGAGGCGCTTTCACTGTAAGTTCTTCATCTGTTGTGCCGGTCTTGAGGTCCTGTTTGGTAGACTAACAACTGCGAAAAAAAGTCCATGTCGGAGCGAGGCTGGTCTTGGTGTTTCTACATCAATTTGCCCTTGGGAGGCCTCACGATATTGGTCGTTTGCTTTCTTCTCAAACTGGATGAGCAGAAACCAAAGTTGGCCAGCTGGAAAGATGTGGTCAAGCCCCTAGACCCAGTGGGCACGGCGCTCTTTCTCCCA